CCCCGTTTTGTTGTGGTGTCTTTGCTGCAGAGAATTGTTGTGTGATACCCTGAGTTTCATAGAACTCAGCAAGAGACTGGTTCTTGAACTCGGTACCATTATCTGTTCTGATGATCTCCACACTCTTTTGTAGAAAATTTTGGATTGTCCTGATGAAGGTTATGATGGTTGCAGCTGTTTCATCCTTTGTCCTCAGAAATTTGGTCCATGTGTACCGAGAGAAGTCATCCACAATGACCAGTGTATATTTACGTCCATTGATGCTTTGGACTCTCATTGGTCCACACAGATCCATGTGAAGTAGTTGCAGCAGTCGGGAGGAGGATGGAACAGGTTTTAACTTGTGAGAGCTCCTTTTCATCTTGCCTAGTCTGCAGGCATCACAATGAGTGTCAGCGGAAGTCTTCAGAGGAGGCAGCCCTTTCACAAGTTTCTTGGAGGACAAAGTAGTGAGATATTTGAAGTTGAGGTGAGACAGGCGTCTGTGCCATAGACTGTTTTGTTCAGAGGAAGCTTTGGACAGCAGGCAGATGGCAGAAGGTAATTGTACGCTCTTCAGATCAATGGTGTACAGGTTGGAAGTTCTTGTGCAAGTCAATAATACCTTTCCAAACCTGTCCAGCACACAGCATTGTCTGGTTATGAACTTCACTTCCATGCCACTATCGCAGAACTGTCCAATACTTAGCAGATTGTGCTTTAGTCCTTTCACATATGACACAGCCTTGATGGTGACACTTGCACAGATGACATCCCCATATCCTAGGATTGGAGAGGCCGCGTTGTTTCCAAATCTCACATTTCCTCCGTAGCATTTGGTGTAGTTGCTCAACAGGTCCTTTATTCCGGTCATGTGGGTTGAGCAGCCAGAATCTAAATGCCACACATGACCGTTCTGCAAAACAGATTAAGGATTTTTAGGTACCCACCGCAGGATGGGTCCTTCCTTATCAATTGAGAAAATCTTTTTGAATTTTTCTTTCAGCTGTGATCCAAGGTCAACAGCCTTTTCAGATGATGTTCTTTGTTTTTCAAGTTCAGCCTTTGGCATCCATTTTTGTTTGATTTTAGGAGCAAAGAAGACAGAGTCATTGTTACCATGTGTAAATGGCTGGTTCGTGAGATAAGGTTTGAAAATTTCTTCTTTAGAGAGACGTTGTAAATGTTTCTTCGAATGAACTCTAAGAGGATATCTTAAATTTGGAAGATTATAGGTACCCTCTACAGTTCTATTCTCAGACTGTTTTCTTTGTTTGCGCTCTCCTTTTTCTTTCTCACGTACAGCATTTACATCATGATCAGAACCAAAAGTATCATTGCAATGATTCACAAACCCAGAAGTAAACAACTTTTCATTGAGAATGAAAGTATCAGATTTAAATTTAGAATGATTCAGCTTGGGACACAAGACTGAACTGGAACTACATGACTGTGACATAGAACTAGATCTACGCTTATTTGAATAGAAAACAGCATTCGAACACGACTTTTTATTCTCAGAAAACATCTTCTTCTTTCCTTCAGCTATCTCAGCTCTCTTTAACTTCCACTCTCTTCTCCTTTCCACTCTCCGACTTACTTCATTTCCTGTTTTCAAAGGAGAGTTGGAGTGAGTGGGTGTCCTTTTGAAAAGGTTAGTTTTGTTCAGAATTGGTTGAGATGTATCAGTATCGCTAGATGATTGAGAAGTTGTGCCAGATTGGGAACTTTCTTTTAAAATGGTCAGTTCTCTCAACAACCTCTCCCTCTCACTTTCGAATTCTTTTCTCTCTTCTTCAAAACTTTTTCTTTGATTTTCTAAAGAGATGTGTAAGTTTTCAAATTTCCTGATTAATGGAGGGATGTAGGGTTCTTCTCCATTTGAACCTGAGGTTGAAGAGGTTTCAGGTTCTGACACAACTTCCTTCTCAGAAGGATAGAGATTCACACTCTCGTCAGTTGACAAAGCAGGTTCAGCGTTTTCATAGCTTTTGTTCAGGGAATCATAACTGAAAGGAATTTCGGCTTTTGAAGGATTTGACCGCTTTACCTCTTCTTCTTCTGCGGTTTCCTTTCCGTAGGTAAAAGCCATCAACTTGGTCAATCCTAACCCCATGTACTTTATGTTGTAAAGTTGGAGACAATCAATCTTTTTCAGATTGTTGGGGTTAGTAAATCCAAGACCTTCCTTTGAGTTATAAAACCGAGTGTCCCTGTTTTGGTTTAAGAAGATTGTTTGTTCAGTTTGTCCTCTTTTGACCAGCAGGTCTTCTAATTCTTTGATTTTTGTGTAAAGAGCACATCTTTGTTTGCGTAGAAAATCATTTTCTGCTTTTGCAACATTTCGTTCGAGTTCTGTGTCACTGACCTTCTTAGTTAGTTCAGCAATTTTCTGTGTAAGCTTTTCTGCTTCTAAATTTTGTTTCTGAACTCTTTCTTTCTCATTTTCTAGTTGTAACTTCAGGGAGTGACTTTTGTCTAGAGTATCAAGTACTACTTTGTAGTAATGATCTAACCTGCTCTTTTGCTCCTTTATGGTGTTATCCTTTTCACACGAGGAATGAACTTTGCATATGCATGAGCAGGAAGACTCAGAAGTACTTACAGTGGTGTTTGAACTTGAACTTTGACTTTTTCCGGGGATCGCAGCATCACCCTTTTCTTTTTCTTCTTCTTCTACAAACGCCATCAGGGCCAGATTCTCTTCTTCTTCATCATCGGAACTCTCCTCCTGCCATGGATCATTCTCAGTAGGAGTTGCAGCACTATCATCATCTTGCTTGGCCATGAACATCTTCTGCTTGTTCCACAGCATCTTTTGCTTGTAATAGTTGAAGTCCCTCTTCTTTGGTAAGCGACAGTCCTTGATAACATGTCCAGCTTTTCCACAGTTAAAGCATTTGAGGGGGTCTTCGGCTGCAACAACTCTACTAGAAGAGTTTTGATCATTGGTTTTTGTTTTGTAGTTGGCTGAGGAGGTTCGGAGCTTGTTTGATGAGCTTCCTTTCTTGGCAAACCTTTTGTTGAACTGATTGGTAAGTAGTGCCATCTTCTTCTGTAGATCGGCCAGTTCGGATTCAACATCCATTTCTTCTTCACTCTCTTCTTCTTCTGACTCTATCTTGACTGCCTTCTTCTTCTTCGGACCCTTAGATGAACTCTTTGATTTAGCTTCAATCATCAGTGCTAAAGGATTAGCGGAGAAGCTTCCTTCCATCTCAGCAGTGTCATTAACAAACTGCTGTAGATGTTCATGGACAGTGCAGAGGTCAAGTTCATCCAAGTCTAGGTGCTGTCGTAGATTCTTAACAGTTCTTCTCCATTCTGGCGGCAGGCTCGACAAGAAACGTATGTTCATTTCCATGTTAGATTTGACAACTTTGATCTTTCTCATCTCATTGATCAGTTGTACGAATCTGTTATACGTCTCATGGAGCGCCTCACCAGGTAGGGCTTTAAAAGCATCATAGGCGGTCAAGATGTTCGCTTTCTTTGTCTTCAAGCCAAGATCAGTTCCAATCATTAACTTCTTCACCTCATCCCACATTTCCTTTGCTGTCTCCATGCTGTCTATCAGAATGTAGATATCATTGGGAATAGCTTGCAGCAGGTAAGTTTTTGCCATGAGATCAGCTTTGATTCTCAACCTGTCAGCCTCAGTGTATTCGCCTTTTGTCTTCAATCTTTTCACATAGTTGACAGGGGGGTTGTTTACATCTGAGGTATCTACATCAGTATAGATCTCAGCAGGACCTTGTGTGAGTGATTCAAGCATGGCAGATGAATTGTCTTTCCCTTCCAGAAAGTTCAAGAATCTTGTCTTCCACATCTGATATTCTCCTTTTCTGAGGATGGGTGGTCTGTTGTCATTTCCAAGTGCTAATGCTTCCATCTTTGCTGATTGAGCCTTAACAGATCGATCGAGTGTTTTGATCAGAAAAAAAATTTAAGATGCAGAATGTCGAAAACCTAATTCAAGAAAGAAATTCGAAAACTAGGGTTCGAGAAGTTCTATCGAGAACCAGTTTTCGATAGTGAATATCGAGAAACTGTTTATCGAGAAGCAGGAGTCGAGAAGCTGTATCGAGAACTTCAGTATCGAGAAGCTAAGTTCGAGAACTTAGTTTCGAGAACTGAGTGTCGAGAAGCTGTATCGAGAACCTGCAATTCGAAAAAACAGAGTTTTAGATATTTAGTATCGAAAACTGAGTGTCGAGAAAGCAATCTCGAGAACTCAGTTCGAGAACTTGTATCGAGAACGTAGTATCGAAATCCTGCAAATCAAAATTTCAGATTAAAACAGTTTAAACAACTTTTCTGTGAAGTTTTCGATCTCGAGAGTCTTCCTGTATAGTTATCGTCCTGAAAAACCTGCTTAAATGTCGAGAACCCTGCTTTTCGAACTCATACTATCGAGAAATCAAAAATACCGAATCTACTGAAATCGAAAAGTAAGATATACCCTTGGTTCGTTTCTGAATGGCGAATCCAATGATATAACTTTTACAGTTTATCGATCAGAAACAAGATTACAGTGATTACAAAGAAATATATCGAAAAGTATGAAAACAGAGAAACTTCGAAAACTTTTCTTCGACGATCACACTCGAGCAGGCTCTGATACCAGTTGTTGGTCCCAGTTTAGCAGACTAACGATCAGCTAGATGAACATCATCGATAGACAGAAGAGAAGGATTTCATATAATGATATAAGATTTATCGAGAACAGTGAAACCTTCTTTCTGTAGTATCGAGAAGTAAATTTGGCAGCGTAAGGCTAATGTGTATTGATCGATATCGGTACCTGTACACAAGGCGCGTATTTATAGGCGCTGTACAGGTTACCGATTTAGGTAAACCTTGGAAGTTGGGCCAAGGCCTTTTTGGGCCTTATTCCCTTTACCTTATTTGCTACATAATAAATACTAATCTAATACCATAAATGGTATAACTAGTCTACTTTATTTAAACAAGACATTACAGACAAACTTGACCCACAATAAAAGTTCTAACAAAGAGGCTGGAAACGCCAATACGCCATAAATGGCGGAAGTGGAGTAGATCAGGCTTTGCAGAATCGGGTTCCAATGTGAATCAGCTCTTTCGTTATCGAGTCTGAGATACATATTCTCCCCCTCCACCTATGATCACGAGTGTGGGGTAGTTGGATCCAAGGATACATGTGATCATCATTTTATATACGGAGTACTAATGAGATTGGTGAGAGGCATAAGTAATTAGGCAAACAATCATTAACAGACTACGGAGAATCACTATTTTGGAAAATTGTTGGTGTACACCCTAATTGCCGTTCATACAGATAAAAAACGCACAAATACAGACACTTTTGGGAAAACTGTCGGTGTGAAGATTAATATGATTTTTTTTATATGAAATTTTAATCCAGGAGCTAACCTTGATTCTAATTGATTTATTATCTTTATGCTTTCAAAAGCAGCACTGTTTTTGTCCCAAGAAAAGAAGTCCAAGGAATTTGGCACAAAATAATTTTAAAATATGTTAAAAAGGGTCCATTGACACAATGGTATGTCATGGAAGAGGTGTGGCAGGGCTTTAAGGGATAATTCAACACAGACTATAAAAACCAACAAAGATAACCTTTTATAATGGGATCTTGAAACTTTATATGATATCATAATCAAGCCGGTTGTGATTCCTTCATTTGTTTAGAACCCATAATTTAGAGTAACTGTTTAAGATATGTTTGACTCATTTATTCAATTTCATGTTTATATAACTGCTTTAGACCAAGAGCATGTGAAGTGATTGTCCCAAAACCAGAAGCTATAAAATATTCAACCAAATATACAAAATAATGCTAACTGAAATCCCATTATTTATGGGGTTGGGATAAGAGAACAAATCGACAAAACAAACATTTGCTGCAGAAATGAGAACTTCATGTTACAGCATTCCAACCATTAATTCTCTCTTTAGTTAATAATTATGAAAATGCAGGTGCAGGCATGGATACTTCCATGTTGTGAACAATGACTATACTCATTGGGAAATGTATGCAATTGGAGGGAGTGCTAATCCCACCATCAACAGCCAGGGAAACAGATTCTTAGCTCCAGATGACAAATTCAGCAAAGAGGTTAGATTCATTTTAGGTATCTCCCAACAATTTTCTTTAATTAGCAAACAAATTAAATGCTCCCAAGCAGATATTAATGGTGTGCATATGCATATGGAGTGTTTTCCTCCACTTCACTTTCACACCCAAACCGCTTTTCTTTTTTCTTTTTCAACTTGTAGCGCAAATCACGGACCTATCCGCCCCTGTCACTCACATGTGACAGTTGAGGACGACATATAATACTGTAATTAATACAACGGTTACATCATTTAGGTCCCTTAAAACTTTGTCAACTTTCCATTTTTTGATGTCCCACTAATTTTGTCATTTTCCCTTTTAAGTAAAAAATTTGTGGTTCCAATTAATTCTCTCTCTTTTGTACAAAGTTCAACCATACAATATTTACTATATTAATCTTCGTGACGGTCAAACTTGACAGAGTTTTAAGACGGAGGTAGTATGAAACAACATATTTTTTCGTTACTCTTTTGATGTAAATAAATAATTTAACTACTTATGTCAAGTAACTTGTGATTTGTGATTGGATGACATCATTGTTGATCTTCAAAAAGAAAGTTACAAGTTCAAGTCTCATTGCAAAGAAGAATATTGATATTAACTAAAGCGGTTACTAACTTACTATAATAGGTTTAGAAAGATATGCAAAAAAACAAAACAAAAAAAACTAGCTATCGTCGCACTAGAATTGAGATATAAGAAAGTTGTGCCTTATTAGGAAGAGTGAATTTATGTAAGAATAAAGTAAATATAAGACCAAATTGGCGGGGCAGAGGAAATACTGTATTTATTTGTCACACACAAAAGAAATGTTTTTTATTTAAAAAGAAGTCATGTATTTTTTTAAAAAGAAAAGGAAGGCATGTATTGACAATTTGACAATCCTAAAATTAGTGTCACTTCAAACTGATAAAGTATGATACCGAGTACGTATTAGTCCTTAACATAATATTCAAACTCCTTCATGGCTTCGTCCCATAAATGTTGGCTAAACAAGAAAAATCATATGACCCACACAGGTTTATTACTTTAAAAATAAAATGACAAAGTTTTTTTGAATTAGTTAAAATAAGTTTATTTGGGACTTGGGTAAATCTCTTCACATTCCATTTATTTAGAGTTGGAACTTGGGAAAGTTTAACATTTGACCATGAATCCACTGTCAGAATGGGAAGTGAGTGATGGACAATACGTCACTTAGAATCTGACTTCAGCAAAGTTTTGATCACTGGATCCAGGAAAAGAGGTAGGAGGGAAGCAGATGGAAAAACTAAAACTAAAACTAATTATTACTACTCCTAAAAGAATGAAATGTTTTTAAAAATGTAAGTTAATTTTAAAATATAGAAAATAATGTACCCAACATTATGACATTGAATAATACTCCGTAATAACGTAAAAATGACATTGAGAGTGTGCGGTAACATTCGAATTGACTGAATCAGCAAAATCTGTTGAAATTGGTGAAATTATGGCTGAATTGACTCAATCTATTGGAATGTAAAAGGATTTATTATGTTTTATTCCAGAAATTAAGAAAAATTAATTGAAAAATATCTAAAGTCATTATCATACTAACTGCAGTAAATTCAGTCACTAAATTCAGCCAAAAAAGTAATTTTTCAACCTTATTTTTTTATTACATAATTTAATGTTCAAAAATAAAAACTACTATACTTATATGTATAGTAGTGTAGCGTATAGACTTATCCTTCATACATCTCTTTAACTAATCAACAGGGCCGTCTAATGAATTTGGAGGCCCCGGTTCAAAACTAATAAACGGGGCCCCACTTTATATAAAAAAAGTAAAAAATATCTCAAACCAAATACTTATACTCTTTTTTTGCAAGAAACCAAATACTTATAATTAAATAAATTGAATACTCATTGAAAGAGAACTAAAAGAGTAAAAAGATCAACGAAAAAAATGATGAATCTATATTTTTCTTCCTTACTCGCTAACTACATTTTACTGCTTAGTATTAATATATAATATTACTATATAATACTAATAAACTTTTAAAATTTTGGGGCCCTATAAATCCGGAGGCCCTGTTCTGGATAACCTATTGAACCCCCTAAAAAACGGGCCTGCTAATCAACTAACAAAACTAAATGTGAATGTGAAGGTAACAAAGCATGAGGATGCAGGAGAGGGTGAATGGGAGAACTGGAACTGGAGAACAGAGGGGGATTTGATGATGAATGGCGCTTTCTTCAGGAGTTCAGGAGCTGAATCTTCTTCGAGTTATGCTAGAGCATCTAGTTTAAGCGCTCGCCCTTCTTCCCTCATCTCCTCCCTCACTCAATCCGCCGGCGCTCTTTCCTGCCGCCGCGGCAAAACTTGTGACTGACACCAAAATTATATCAATGAAATCCCGTAATTAATTATTATTATTATTATTATTAGTGTTTTATTGTTTAAATTTTGATCATCAAATTGTAGGAAACAACCATGCATTCGAGCATCCACATTTGCACAAAAATAGCGAGTCCAGGCGTAGTCAGTACTATATACTAGGCATGACTAATATAAAAAAGGAAAAATTGAAAATAATAATCCCAACTATTGTCGGTCCGCTGAAAATAATCTCAACTATTGATTATTTTTGTATAATCCCAACTATATAGACTATCCGCCAATAATGGTCCATGACCATATATTACCTCTATAAAAAGTAAATTTTACATAGAAATTAAGCGTAAAAATTAAAAGTTGAGATTATTTATAGGGATTACTTGTTACATCTCATCTCATCCACTTTAGAAACTACAAGAATTTATTCATAGGGACCATTATTGGCGGAAGGTCCCTAAAGTTGGGATTATTCTGTAATAATCAATAGTTGGGATTATTATGAGCGGACCGCCAATAGTTGGGATTATTACTATCAATTTTTCCTATAAAAAAAAGATTATTACTGAATTTTTTGTACCAATAATCAAAGGTGGCTGACATCGCCCTTTACCTCCGCCGCCGAATGGACTCTTGACCGATCGGCGCACATTGGCTAGCTATATTGTGTCTTTTTACAAACAGTACAAAACAATTACGGGATTGGAACGGACGGATTGGGCATGATTGACCGATAATTTCGTGTCAAATTATTTTTGGCACGGCTTTAGGAATTTTGGCGAATGCATGTTAATCCCGAATGCATATTCCCTTTTTTTGTGGTAGAAAGAACTGGCCAGACTCAATATAGGGAGCATGTTCCACTTAGGGGCTGTTTACTTTTTTTTTCATCAAGTCCTGAATGAATTAAGACGTCTGTCTGGATTAAGTTGTCTGTCTGGATTAAGTGCCACTGAGATAACAAACTGTTTACTAAGTGTACTGAATGAAAAGTATGAATCATGTCAAATGACCAAATAACCCTCTTGTGTGTGTATATTGTTTGTTGACTTTCCTTGTTCTCAAAGATAATTTGGCATCGAATTTCTATAATTTCTGAAGCTAGAAATAACAAAAAATTATTAAATAAGTTGTAAGAATGTAAAATTAAAGATCTGTATTTTTTAAACAAACTTGGGAGTTCGTCTATGATTTCTTCCATGCCAATAAAATTGAAGACGAGTGTTTGTCTATGGTTTAACTTGAATACGACTAGTGCAATGTAAAATTGGTAAGCAGGTGGATTGTCTGGGAGATCCCTCTTGGTTCATAAACGACGGATATATATCATGTTTTTAGCGGAGCATGTATGAAATGTTAAAAATAAATAATTGCAAAAGTAATCTAGAGAAATTTTCAATAGTGAAGGTCTACATCTCCAAGTTACGAATATGTTTGCTAAGAGGATGAACAGCCTTGGCAGTTGGCAGAGCTCTATTCTATTCATCGATGGAGTTTTGCAGAGGTGGAGAAAAGAAACTATCAGCTAGGGTTAAAAGAGAGAAGTTAGTCTCTTCCGTGTCTGAAGCGTTGTCTGAAGCCTAAAGAGTGTCTTTTTCTTGCTGAACGAATAAGTCGACATTTGACTGAGCGAATAAGTCATCTATTTGATTCAGTTCTAAGTAAACACACCTTTATGAATGAATGGTTAAGTCATTAACTCCATTAAGTCCATTAAGTCCCAAGTAAACACCCCTTCATCTCGGGCCTTGACTAGTTGAGCCGCCGGTCCTGGCCAAACTTGAAACAAATTCTGTTTCAATGAATCGTACTCCGTATTACTTAAGGATATCTTTTTGGATAATGACAACAAACATAGGAAAAGGAATGCTTGAAAGAATGTAAGTATTCGGCTTTCACTAAAAGATGGTCTTGGATCCTTGGATATGAAATGACAATTAACTAGAAATCATTTGTAATTCCGTGATTCATGTTGCATGTAAATTTAGTCACTGCAACATACTCACTATGGCAGACTTTGATGTGATGAAAGGCAGAGATGCGCTCAAATTTATATAATTTTGTGAACTCTAAAAACTACATTTGAATATGAAAAATGTAATGAGCCCGTTTGCCGTTTGGTGATAGTGTAATATTGAAATTGACTGAATCGGCTGATTATGCTTAATTTCATGAAATTTCTGTTGCATTGATTGATTCTGTTGAATTGTGAAAACATTATAGTAAGAAAAAAAAAAACTAAAATGGTTTTCTACAATAATATCAGCCGGCGAAATAATTACAACATTACATATTTTAATTACGTAGTATTTCATAATTTGACATGCGATATTTAAAAGTTGACTAATAAGTCGAGACTTAAAATGGAGTACAAATGACCAAGAAAATTCTTCTCATAATGCGAAAGGATTATTTGTTTTATACTTTTATACATCAGGCAATAACCTTTTTGTTTTTACTTGACATACCATCATAACTATGTGTTTAAAAATGAAAGTGTAGTACTGAAATTTGGAAGAAAATGAAGCAATATGAATGCCATTGATTTCTTAAGCTGAAAACTAAGACAAAACTGTACTAGCAGGAGACTAGGAGTTTAGGACATATACAAAAGAAAAACATTAAAGATTGCTTTAAGAAGCACTAGACGAATTATTAGATTAAATTAATATACTCAATGCCACCCGCAAACGGTATTGAAATAGGACATGGTATTGAACTTTTTAACAGTAATGTATTACATCATTGGGTCATGGTTTATGTAAGCTAATTAAACTTTTATACCATTTGTGTTTTTATTCTTTTTTCTAATGTATTTGTGTATTTATTCTTAAGAACTTATGGGAATTCAAACCCCACTCACATAACTTTATTTGATTGAGCAAAATTATCATGTGTGGAAGTAGCTTAGAGAATAGAAACATGGGATGGGGAAGGCTATATTCAAAGAACTATGTTATGCACAACAGCTCTATACTATACATATATGCATGTGATAGTTAATAAAAAGTGACACTTAATTTCTATCACTCAAGAAATACACATCATATCAGACTATATCTACAAATATATCCACTGAACCTTTTCCTCTACTAACCCATGTAGATCAGCAAAAATGGGCATTTGCACATGAGAATTGTTGGCTCTATCCTTCCAAATTCAACGTGTTGACCGTGTTGCTCCACAATTGACATCGTTGACCATCCAGCTCCTAATAATTGACCTGCAAAATAATCACTACAAAGAACTAAAAGTATATTAGTGGCTCGAGACGCGTCAGACGTTGTCCTAAGGAATTATTTCCGGCGTATGGAAATTTCCCCCAAGATATAACGAGCCCTTCGGTACATGACCGGTAACAGAACTAACGAGAAGAAAATATTATATGAACCCAATAATAAAGTTATGATAGTTTATGACGAAGAATTTGCTGAAAAGTATAAAATTATTGAGAGTGCACTTTGTTGCTCCATGTATCCTTCTAATAATTTTCCATCACTCATGCATGTAAATACTCTATATACGTAGTATGTGTGTATGTATGTCAAGTATTCGTTATCTTGCTGCTTATGACATATGCCATCTTCCATCATCATCTCTTATTACCATACGTATAAATAAAGAAATAGAGTAATGCTAATGAGCAGCTCAAAAGTCGTACAAAACGTTTGTTTGATGTTCAATATATTAATGGGAACTTAATAGTCATTAATAAAAGAAAACGTTTTATCTTTAATAGCAATTATAAGTGATAAAACTACTCATTTAATTAAAAGTAACGTATGAGACAATGGGAGTTGGAAAATGTATGGTTGGAGTAGAAAAAATAATAATTTAAAGGTAATTTTATTCATTTGAAATATTTCCAAATTTTTCAACAATCCCCCACATATTTCAAATGAATAATTTTAAGTATTTAAAAATAATAATTCCTTACTGGGTTCATATATGGGGTGAGATTTTTCAATCTAGTGTCGCATAGACTTGAACCAGACCTAGACGCCTAAGTCTTTAAATACCGAGTTTATTGGTGAAACGTATAGTTTCTATGAACCAATAATCTACTTTGGTAAGTCAGTGTCTTAGAGGATCATTTTCACCCCCACCTTTCTCGTCGTTAACGCCGTTGTGCGCCTCTAGGCCGTGCGCGTGCTTGGTTTTCTTGAGTGCTCTAAAAGCGTTGTCAATGCTTCATGGAGGCGGCCCCACCTCACACTCATATAGGTGATCTCATCAAGTGTGTCCCGCACTTAACACACCACCCGTAAGGGCTATGAGAATCATTAAGAGCTTTAGCTCAACCTCACAAACAAATGCAGTTTAGCCTTCCACACCATAGAAATGGACATTTTACAAGACTAGCAGAACAAATAAAAGACTTGTTATTACCCATTTGAACTTGCTTCATGGGATCTCCAATCACACAAGTTGGGTTCCCATCCCTATTTGTTGTCAAAGTGACATTAGTCCATTTCCCTCGATGTTTAAATTTATCATATAACGTCCTAGGGATTCTATAAAAGGAGTAGCTAATTCCTTTTAACTTCACAAAATTAATGGAATAATTCCATTCTCAAACATCATTGCACCACTTTTAAGGGTGAATGGATATCCACTATTTTATCTCGATCATGTGAGTCGACTCAGATGACGTCATTATATCCCGGCAATACAACGGATAACTCTCAATAAGAAATAACATTGATGTGACACTTGTACATCAGATAATTTCAATAATACTCCGCATGTTATATCCTAACGGATAATTCTCAATATAATATGTAACATCATTGTATCATCATAGTACAATGGATAATTCTCATATATGACATCGTTGTACCCCTCTAGTAAAACGGATATTTCTCAATTAAACATGTCATCATTGTATCAATGTATTACAACGGGTAATCTGAACCATAATTAATGATACCCCTCGAATATCTCAATAACTTAAGGTATCCCAACCATCACATTTGGATTTCATATATTGGCTCAATGTTCAATTCGTGCCTTTTAAAATTATAAAATATCACACACATTTTTGTTTTTATTTATATCAAAGTCATAAGGGATATTCACATTTTAACATTGAAATATCAAACTTCTTAAGAAGTTTTTCAAAATGATGATAGTAAAATACCACAATCCTTCTTTATGGCTTTAATATAATACTCAAAAATTACTTTTATTATATTCATATATCAACTCAATATAGCTACTAATGTAAGCATACAAAAATTCCAGCAACATATAAACAAATAACCACACATGAATCATTTAGTGTGTTCACATTCTTCAAAAAATCAATCACAAAATATCAACAATAATATAGCTTTAAGTATTGCTCACCGGCACACTAATTCTTCAATTTAAGAAAGTCATATATATACTCCACTATTTCAAATAATATAACTTTTCCCTTCACAAAAGTATTTCTTGTCTACCAAGAAATTTATTTTCTCTCTTTATAGCAAGTAATAAGATTTTGGCTAAGCACCCCCACATTTTAAATATTTGAAAAAATAGGCTCATAGACAATTCTCATATAAAAGAAATGATTCAAAATTATAGTGTCACGCCCCGGACCTTCCCGGACACGTCAACAATCCGCCGTACAGTACGAATGGTCAACCGCAGTCCAACACATTCATACTATACAAGGCGTCTGGGATATCATTCACACATAGTACATCCATAAACAAACATATTATAAAATATTCATTCAAAGCAGCGGAAACGTTTAATACAAGTGTTCAAGCCACATTGGCGTAACATGGGCTTACAAGCCATCAATAGTTATTCAAAAGATAACATCCATGAACATTAATTTAAATGAGTTTAAAACAGGAATGGAGGAAGCACGAACCACGTTTTCTTCTCCTGAATTCTCTTGGAGCAACGGCGAGGGTAGCAACCTTCAAGTTCTACCTGAAACTGTGAGGTGGCCTCCCCCGTGAAGGGGAGGTCAGTACTTGGAAGCATTTGACAAGTACAATGACAACTATACTAAGTATAATCAAAGTTTCAATTTCCAAGACCCTCAATCTAGGATGTTATTATATTATAGGTCATAACCCGTGGTTACCCTCTTTGAAAGTATACTTACTTTATATATAAAGTCAAGTAGTCGCCCGAAGGCCCATGTTTACTTTGAAAACATTTAACCCTTTCCCCGTGACTTCAAGCCACACCCATCTATATTAGTTTACCATGCTAGAGGCTCCCTCTAGTCATGTTTTGTCGTGCTAGAGGCTTACTCTAGTCACTCCACTTGGTGTTAGAGGCTTCCTCTAATCACCTTACATACGTTGTGCTGGAGGCTTCCTCCAGTCACATTACGTTACGCTAGAGGCTTCCTCTAGTCGTCCTACACGAATGCTGGAGGCTTCCTCCAGTCATTCTTCATCGTGCTAGAGGCTTCCTCTAGTCACGATACTAGTTCACTAAGCAAGTTCTATGCCTAGAGTTCCTCTATTATGAGTAACCTTTGAGGCCTACTCCTACGGTAACTTAGCGTTTACCCATTTCTACCTTAAGACATCTCATAAGACTACTTAAGGTGTACCTCTCTCACAATCCAAGCCCTTAGGATTTGTTCTATCACTTTTCATACTAACATTTCCGACTAGTAAAATCAATACTAATCCATTTGTCTTTAAGCCACCAAGCTCTTTAATTCATAGTTATAAGGCTCATTCCCATGAATTTCCCAATCTATATATGATTTAATCTCAATATCAAAAATATCACTTTTATCCATTCATGATTTCTATACATGAAGTAAAAGTATATTTCCTCACAAAAATTCATGATTTATACATTCATCATATCATCATTCTTACAATGCATAACTATACACCATTTACTCATAAATTTGTATATTATGCATCTTCTATTAATAAACAACAATATTTTCATTAGGCATTATTAATCATTAATAATCCATGAAAATCACATTTAATTATTTTAGGTAATCTTATGAAATTAACCCAAGGATTATAAGCAATATAGTCGGTCATCCTCACCTTAAGCGAGCTTAAGCGCGTTCTACGCTTCCCGATTGAACTTTGACTAATTCCGGCAAACTTTGACCAACTCCGGCGAACTTTGACCAACTCCGGCGAAACTCCGGCGAAGCTCCAAAGTACTTTAATCAAGTTCCTAACAAGGTTTTAACATCATAAAACCTTAATCAATACTGTTGGAACATATTGTTTTGTTGATGACAAACGACTGATGTTACTTTTGGTCTATAGTTGATGATGACTAACCATGCAGGTGGAACAACGGACAGAACCGCTCCCAGTTCTTGTTCCGTGATATGGTTTGAATTAATATTGATTGCACCTACTTGAAAATTAATGTGCTTTCCTTATGTGAGTGCTCATTCTTTGTCAAGAATATTTTAGGGAATAATATATACGTAATTTGATTATATGAGTGCTTATTTGAGTGGCATATCACTTTATGGAATATATAGCTTTTTACTTTATGGAAAGTATCTTTACTTAAATGTGAGTGCATGATCCCTACATTATTGGTTATATACGTAGCATGCTAAGTACTCCCTTTAGGTTTGAAAAAGTAATCCTTAGTTAAATGAAAACTTTATCTTTTTGATAAAGTTCTTTAATGATTGCATCCACTCAAATAAGGAAACTGTTTTTAAAAGAATCCACATAGGGTCGTTGCTTCTTTGCTCTTATTGTGAAGAATTCCCTACCTTTTAAAGAGTTGACCATAGCTCATTCAAAAAGCTTGGAATCCTTATTAACCTCACGTGATCTGATGCATGATTTATTACCTTGATATTTTGGTTGACTGGCTTATATATTAAAGCTCAGATTTGGCAATTTCTATGGAAGGAAAACAATTCAAAATATCAAGGCAAGTCCCAAAATTAGAAGATCATCTATTCAAAGGAAGGATGCTCCAACGGATTTAAGGCAGTCTATATATAATCGAAGAAGCTGAAGAGAAAGGGGTGTGCTTGACCGAGAAAATATCAAGAGAGATACTCGAGAGAAATACAAAGTTCAAGGCACCTAAAACTGCTCCCGGAGTTCTAGACAGAGTTCTTATTCTCTTCCTATATTGTAATTGGGTTATTGAGGATTAGCTAAGTGTAGCTTCCTCGGGTTGGGTAACGTGTGTTGTGAGGGCTTTGTTGTAAAGCTGAGAGGCTCTCTACCCGCAAGGTAGAGAAGCGTAACTCTTCCTAGAGAGGATAGAGTTGGGGTGGCTCAAGGGTAGACTAGGAGAGTTTCCCTTGTAATCATTCAAAGGCTTTTTAGTGAAGTTGTTAAAATTCCTCCGAGGGAGGTCGAGGTTTTTTAATCCCTTTGAGCCAAGGGATTTTTCCTCGTTAAATCCTTGTGCACTTTACTATTTCGCAATACCCTTCACCCCGCACTAGAACTGGGCGAAAAACTGCCACGGTTCCACATACACAATTCACCCCCCCTCTTGTGTTTCTAACCGTTTTCATCAAATACGAATAACCTCTAAAAGGTTATTTTCCGGTGAACTTGTCGGTTTGGCTCCAAAGTCCGTTTTTGGACTTAGAACCCCCTTCCAACCCATCATTCTACACTTAACTCATGTGGAACAATCCTCAATGTTCTTCATATGATATATATCTCATATGGTAGAAGAAAAATAAAGGAAAAGCTATGATAAGGCCATTACCTCAACTTTTCTCACTTTTTCCTAGCTTTTCTCCTCTTGAAACACCTTCTTTGGACTACTCCTCCTTGAGCTCGGTTCTTGGCTATGGAGGATGAGTTTGCAGAGATCTTTCTCCCCTTTTCCTTGGTGCTGGCCGAAGTGGTTGAGTGAGGAAGGAGGGGGTGGGTTTCTTTTTGTTTCTTTTGGGCAATTATGGGTGAGATGGGTCCTCTTACATGTCAAACATGTTTCCTCCATCAACTCAAGAGTATTCAGCCACCTTTTGAGCTCAATCAATCCCCTTTTGGTCGACAATTTCGTGGGGTGGCCCCCACCTATGTGGGAGGTCATCCCAATTCGTCCCGAAGTGTACAATCGGTCCCGAAAGTTGTATTTTTTTTGGACTGTTTTAAATATATTTTATTTTATCGGGTCAAATAAAATATATTATGTGTTCTCCATCATTATAACCCTTATAATGAATATTCATTCCTCAATTTTAATTTATAAGTCCCCGAAATTAAATTTCGGGCTTTTATCGGTTAAATTGCCAATACCGGTATTTGGGCCTCTTTTGACCAATCGGTCAACTCAAGACCTTTCCATGGTTCAAATGAATTATCCACCACCATATAAATATTATCTAGACCAAGATGAATAATTTATGTGGTCCCGGGAATATCGGGCGGCCCCCGCTCCCGGTGCGGGCCCCACGTGCGAACTTACTATTCACGCAAAAATTAATAAAAAATCGTAACCTCGTAAATTCGTCAACCATTCCATAAGGTTAAAATACAATATTCACTTTAAAAGTAAATACATTTGGGGACGGTGTTACATATAGTCATCCAAAACTATATACCAGGTATGCATGCACAAAAAATTCGTACATTAGGCAATTAAAATTGTGATAATATAGATAATAAGACCATTCCAATCAAAAGCTCCTAATAGAAAGTTATAATGTGGACAAAATCTTTGCAATCACCAAGGCCTATTCAGCACAGTTTGATTCTCAAAGTATATTCACAATTGCATGCAAAATACATACTTCAATTAATTTTTTTTTAAATATAAAGATAAAGAAGACTCTCCAATGACAAAATGTAATCAAAGAGGTCTGAGCGCACCACTCAACCATGTATACATCAAAATTGATTTCTGTAACGGCATGCAAATTAGTTAACGATAACCGATGCAATTCTCAATTTTCAACAATTACAATTAAATTAAAATTAATAGCAATGATTCAAAGAATTTTAAAAATATGAAATATGACACTGTAATAATAATAAGCAATAGAAAATTACAAATACAAACAAATACGGGCAATTGCTTTTTTGTAAAGCAAGCCATTAATTTAGAAAACTAAACATATACAATGTATGACATCCATTTTGACAATAGTCTTTTAGAACCTCATGTCATGGTAAAATTAATATTAATAAATAAAATTTATATAGTTCACCACACATTTCACAAATTTTTATTAATATTTTTTTTCAATAATCATAATAATTTTTTCACATATAAAAATAACTCTAACCAGAACTTATTCAAAATTCAAACTCTTTAAATATGTCATTTAAAGATAACAATTTTTCTGATGTGAGTTTCAACAAATTCTCTATTTTGCCATCTCCTATTAGACAATAGGAGGAAAACACTTTTGTATTCACAAATGAATTTGGTAGCCTCAAAATCTACCGTCTATTCATTCCCACATCACTCGTCAATTTGAAAAAATAACCGCATCAATTATATCATCACCGCCAACACAGTTTACACTTTATTTGGTGGATGTTTTCCCCAAAACTTTCATTATCTAAAAAATCACTTTTTAACAAAGGCTATAAAAAAACATACCATAATTTGGACGATCGTTAGGAGCTAGAAATGTAGCCATACTTTTGGTGTCACTGGTCATAGGAGGTGCATCCTCCACGTTGACTACTCCGTAGATGTATTTTTTTGTCCACCAATAATTCCTTAGATTGTTGGCTCTATCCTTCCAAATTCAACGTGTTGACCGTGTTGCTCCACAATTGACATCGTTGACCATCCAGCTCCTAATAATTGACCTGCAAAATAATCACTACAAAGAACTAAAAGTATATTAGTGGCTCGAGACGCGTCAGACGTTGTCCTAAGAAATTTTTACCGGCGTATGGAAATTTCCCCCAAGATATAACGAGCCCTTCGGTACATGACCGGTAACAGAACTAACGAGAAGAAAATATTATATGAACCCAATAATAAAGTTATGATAGTTTATGACGAAGAATTTGCTGAAAAGTATAAAATTATTGAGAGTGCACTTTGTTGCTCCATGTATCCTTCTAATAATTTTCCATCACTCGTGCATGTAAATACTCTATATACATAGTATGTGTGTATGTATGTCAAGTATTCGTTATCTTGCTGCTTATGACATATGCCATCTTCCATCATCATCTCTTATTACCATACGTATAAATAAAGAAATAGAGTAATGCTAATGAGCAGCTCAAAAGTCGTACAAAACGTTTGTTTGATGTTCAATATATTAATGGCCAATGCAAGAACTTAATAGTCATTAATAAAAGAAAACGTTTTATCTTTAATAGCAATTATAAGTGATAAAACTACTCATTTAATTAAAAGTAACGTATGAGACAATGGGAGTTGGAAAATGTATGGTTGGAGTAGAAAAAATAATAATTTAAAGGTAATTTTATTCATTTGAAATATTTCCAAATTTTCCAACAAGAATTGCAGCCTAGGTCTGATGCACACATGTGTGGTCCAAAACACAGTATTCAAAACCACTCTTAAAGAAAAAAGGAACAAAGAAATGTCTCTTCCCCTTTAATTTGTATGTTGATGGGCCCACAAGATGGCTAACTCTCACATGGAAAGTGGGTCCCAAGCAGCAGCATAATTGGACTAAAGAGGAATATAAAAACTTTAATTTAATGAAGAGAATTGAATAGAGAGTAAAAAAGCAAGTAGAGGTCACTGATTAGTTCCTGGATTGACAAATCTTTTTCACAGCGCTGATTTTGTCTTCTCTAACTGTTGAACCGACAGTCACAACTAACGTGGTAGCATTAAAGAGGCTGGAAACGCCATAAATGGCGGAAGTGGAGTAGATCAGGCTTTGCAGAATCGGGTTCCAATGTGAATCAGCTCTTTCGTTATCGAGTCTGAGATACTTATTCTCCCCCTCCACCTATGATCACGAGTGTGGGGTAGTTGGATCCAAGGATACATGTGATCATCATTTTATATACGGAGTACTAATAAGATTGGTGAGAGAAATAAGTAATTAGGCAAACAATCTGACGTGCACTTTGTCACGGTGCGTCAAAATAAATTCAATACTAACACTTATACGTAGTATAGGTGAAGTAGAGTTCGTATCCACAGGGAAAGGAATAACTCTTCTTTTTATGTAACTAGTAAATAAAGGGGGGGTTTTGATCGAGTGATTTGATTAAATTAAACACGAAGATGAACGAGTTATATGTGATTTAATTCAAAGATAAAAAGGACTTGGCATTGCTACTTTCCACTTGTTGATATATTTCAGTCGATCATTGTTATATCTATAACTTATCTCCTCTCGAATACTCAATCGAGGAGTATATCCAATTCATCGAGGAAAGTTATTAACAACGACCGTTCATTAATAACCCTTACTATTAGTCAAGTATAGAACAACGCCATATACCTACTTGATAGTAGCATTTAATCTCTTAACTCCTTGATGAAATCAATTGAGATTGATAACCTCAACACAATGATTTCGGTTTAACCAACAAAATTAATCCCTCTTACGTTTACTAACCACGACCGTGCATTAATAAACCGAAGTTACTTACTTGTGAAACCATCAACGATTAACCATCGGTTCGTTGATCGTTTCTAGTAATAATTAATATTTGAAACAAAACTAGTTGATCCTTTAAGTAATGTTCAAAAATATTAATATGAAATATGAATAGGAATTAATTAATACTCAAGGAAGAATATTAAGGAAAATGAATCCTACTATAGTTAATAGCAAGATGTTAACTAATTGTCATCTTAGTAACACTCCCCAATATTAACATAGAGGAAGGAATAGCTATTACTAAGACCAATGTCAAGATGTTAACTAATTGTCATCTTAGCAACACTCCCCAACATTGATATAGAAATAGTATTTAAGAGAAGCATTAATATTCAAGGAAAGAAGTTAAGAAAATAACTCACAACTTTAATAATCAACAAGCTTCAAGAGCAACACCAAGACATGGAAGTTTAGCTCCTCATTTGGAGACTAAACATGCTATAAAAATATAAAAGAAATACTATTCTAAACTGAGCTTAAGAGTATGGAAGAAGGGATGATTCTTTGTGAAGGAAAATGGGGTTATTTATAGGTGTTTTTCAACACCTTGGGCCGGGTACCCGACCGGGTTAGGTGCTTACCCGACCGGGTCCGGTCAAAATCAGATATCCTCCACGTTCTGGCGATCTTCGGCACGTTCTGGTGTCCCGGGTCAAGTCTGACCCGACCGGGTCAAGTAGGGGACCCGACCGGGTCTGATGATTTTCCAGGCAGTTTCGGATTTTACATCAGACCCGACCGGGTGCATGGTCTAACCCGACCGGGTTTGTGCTCCTGGGCACACTTATCACCTTTTTCTTCACTTCAAACTCTTCCTTTCCAACACCATAAATACTAACTCTACTTTCCAACTTACAAATGAAGATTAAAATACAATTACAACTAAAATCACATAAATGTTTACAAACTAAATAAAACGATAAACAATACACACAAATCAAACATAAAAACATACACTTATGCACTACTAATTAGTGCATATCACAATCATTAACAGACTACGGAGAATCACTTTTTTGGAAAATTCTTGGTGTACACCCTAATTATTTGTCATTCATAGAGATAAAAAACGCACAAATACAGACACTTTTGGCAAAATTGTCGGTGTGAAGAAAATTAGTTTTCAGATCTGCCAGGTTGGTTGCACGGAAACCATTGTCGGTGTACACAGACACTTGTTGTCGGTGTACACAGAAACTAGTTGTCGGTGTAGACAAAAAAGTGCCGGTGTGAACAAATTTGGTTTGCAGGTCTGTCAGGGGGTTGGAAAACCAGTGTCGGTGTACACAGACATTAGTTGTCTATGTAGAAAAAGTGTCTGTACATGTACAATTTTCGTCTGTGTGCACAGACAA